GACAAAAATGTGCAGATTAAACACTTGTAGGTTATAGTGAAGGAGAGGCTTTTCTGTTCCTTTGACATTGTTTCCATTCCTCCTGCAGAGTGGAGAAGAGAGCGGCCCGGCCCTTTGGCACTTCAGAACGTGAGACCTCCACCCAGGCCGTGTGAAGAGTGGGAGGAGGAGGATGAAGAAAACCGCTCCACTACTTCACTGCTGCTGGTTGTGAAAAACAGATGAACAGGCTGACTGTTTCCTTTAAGGTTAACACCAACGGAGAGGTGAACAAAAAGGGGTTTCACCAAAACTTTTCTACTCAGTCACGCCCAATAATAACCCAACCAAACTGCTCTGACTCAGACTTGCCTCTGTAACTTTAAGAGAACAGCATTATTTAGGACACTGAACCAATTTAACCCTTAGATGTCTGATTTAATTTAGCCATTTTTCAACATTTTTAATTTAATTTTTATCTTCAGCATAACTATAGCCATCAGAGCACATTTCATTTAAACCTACTTTATCAACAAATCTTAAATTAAACCACCCAAAATAACCAACTTACGTTCTTTAATTTTAGGTGGTTTTCCTTCCACAATATCTGTATTGAATTAAATTCTGTTTATTTAAACCTGTCAAACACAGAAATTCCTAATGGATTATGTCAAGTTCAGTTTATTTTCAAATTACTTTAAAAGTGTGTTTGTTTTTTCACAGACAGTTGCATAGAGTCGATGATTTGCAGGTTGTTTGTTTACATCTCCAACCCGGAATGCGCTCTCATCTAATTCAAAATGGAATAAAAAACCTGCACAGAAATATCAGAGCTAACAAACAGTTCAGTGAATACAGAGCTTTGCTTTTACAAACTTCATTTTTGCTTCAAATTCCACCACAGCAATGCTTTTTTGGAGGAAAAGGAATAATTGAGGCAAAGTTCGCTCAAGGTTTCATAAATATGCTAATTTGTTCAGTCTGAGTTGTGTTTGGATGCGTCATGGTAACAGAAAACATTGTATTGGTTCTGACTAGTCAAAATGAAATAGTCAGACTTTGTTCCTTCAGAAACAGATAATTCACACTTATGATGAACACTGACCAGATAGCTTCTTCATTTTCTACTATAAAGTTTAGTCATCAACATGTCTAATGAAATGAACCACATCTGAGCATCAAAAGGTTTTTATATGTTTCGATTATTAGCGATAACCAGCTTGTTTCCCTCAATGATCACATGAACAGCTTCAACAACATTCCTGTTATGCTCCTCTGGTTTTCCAGCCTTCTGGTTAATCAAGTAATTATGAAGAACAGCTGAAACTGAACTACTTTCTAAAGCTTGACTGTGAATCTAACTCTATATTCTTCATGTCAGAGTTGGTTTAAGACTTTGGAGGACAATTGAAAGCCAACTTGAAAAGCTGCAAATCAAGACCAACGACCCAGAACAATGAAAACTGAGTCACCCTTTGTTTCTACTACAACAAAACATGAAAGAGTCGTTGACTGTGAACTTACTTTCTTAGTAATCAATGTGTGTCATTACCTCAGACTCTGAGCTGCTGCCCACACTGCAGATCAAATCTCATTCCAGGAATATTTGCAGGGAGACAAGATAAAGTCCAGGAGAGAACGAGGCCACTGAAAGATCATCAGAACTGCTTCACTGCTCTCCTTACCACCAAGAGTGTGTTTATTCAATATTACACGTCTATGCTACCACACTGTCTATGTCTCATTCTTAAACCACTGGGTTCATTATTATTATTATGTCAGTCCATCATTTGCTGTGCAACTGATTCCATGCAAGAGTTTCTCATCAAATAAATTGAGGTTTGTCAGTTTTTAAAGAATAATAACATATTCAATTGCCTTCAATTTCCATTTGGTTTAAATAATACTCAACTGAACAGAGATGTGCACATCAACCAGATAAATAATGTTTACTCCATAAAGAAAAACAATTTAAAAAATGAAATGATTGCCTTCAGTTTTGAGCTGTTCATCTGCAGTGACCTTGGTGTAATCTCATAACTGCGTTCAGGTCAAACTGTGGGATACAGATAAACTCCTACTGAGGAAGACTGAACAAAAATTAGATTAATTAATTACTCAATTACAAAACCTTGAGCTACCTTTAGAAAATTTGACATCTAGAAATAAAACATCTGACAGCCCTTTCAGAGATTTCCACTTATCAACTTATTAACCTTAACACGAATAAAGACACACAAAGAAGCATTTACATTCTGGGCAGAGATACAGAATGCCAGATTATTATTATTATGAACAGTTTTTCCAGCATCATAAGAACTAATATGGACGTGTCTCTATTTTTGTATGTATTTTGGTTTTTTGTGTCTTCGCTGCTGTTTATACAACAAATTTCCCCCAGGGGATAATAAAGTTTACTTAACTAATAAGATGATTTTCTCAAATATTAAATGTGTGTAATTTTACAATCAGGATAGATAAATTCCCTCTTGATTCCGACATTTCAGAGCGCAGATGTGAGCAAACTGTGTGAAAGTGGACTGGGGAGCTCTGAGGTCAGTGTGACAGAGGCCAACCAGATATAGTATCTTCTGCGAGTGGCAAAGGCTGAGTAACATTCAGGGCTAAAGTTCACTGCTGTTTGTCACAGATTCACCTCATGTTAGACGAATCAACTCAGGAAATTAGGGAAACACTGAGCTGACAAGCAGCTCCGTCTGATTTCATTAGAAACGCTGCAGCAGGTTAACACCTCTGCGAACTACATCTAGTGAAACGCAGCCGTCAGCAGTTTTCTCTCTTCTGTTATGGATGTTATTGATGACCTTCATATTTGTGCTGCTCAGAAATAAGCAGCACAAATATAACATAATGATGGCATCATTCAATCTGATGCGCTGATAGAGAAACTTCATTTAAAAGACTCATTTTATCATTTTTCTTTCACTGCACTTATAGAAAACTTATTTTCCTCTTAAGAAATCAGACAGATGTAACGCCTCAGGATGAAGCGATCCACTTTTTTCACTTCTGATTCGATATCTGAGGATCAGCGCTTATTTTAAAAACAGACATAAGTCTACTAAATTACAACAGTATTTGATGACTCCATGAATTCAGCACTCTTAAATACACCAGTCGCTTCACAAGTTGATTAAACTTTCATTTGTTCAGTCAAAGAAACTGAAACTGATAAATAGGTTGACTTAAAATAAACTGCAACAAATGTTTTGTCGAATGGTTCAGAAAGTGCAAAAAGAAATTTTAAATATAATGAAAAATAAATGATGACGCATGATTTCACTCAGACGACAAAACAGAATTAGCCTGGCTAGATCTGCCCTTATGGATTGGGCACATTGACACTGATATCCGCTCTAAACTATTTTTAAAATTGTGATCAATACAGATATTAATATGTAATCAGTGCAGCCCTAATAATACCATCTAAAAGAGCTAGTAACGCGAGAAAATAAAATCCTAATGAATCGATTCCTTCGAGCAAAATTTTCCACTCCAACATATCTGATCCTTTATGCACACGCCCACTTCAAATACATTCCTGCATTCTCAGCATGCAAGGAACTGGTAATGTCTCGTACAGCATGCAGTTTGTCATTGCCAAGTAAAAAATGACAGCAATGTGGAAGATGTGCGTCCAGTCGGCCTCCTCCTCGTCCATTTCTCAAGCTTCACTACACACCGACATGCAACTATGACAAGAATGGCAGGAATTACAGTAGACTGAGTCCTGAAGGACAACTTCAACAGTTCACTGGCTTCTAATTGCATTTCTAACGAGAGAAAAAAAAATAAAGCAGCTAATTGTCAGAGTCAGGCCAGCAAGCATTAATGACTGAATTTCCTGACAGAAAAATCAGATGTTGCTGATTTGTTTTTCTGCTTTTGCTCCTAGATTTCACCAGACTAATTTTACTGCAACATATGATCGGGTAAAATGTCAGATGAAATGTCAATAAAGCCTAAAATGCCCCTTATGGTTTTAGCATGTATGGAATGAATAAACAAAGAAAAATGCAAACTTGCCTACTTTTTAGCTTATATTGCTAGTTTTGTTTTCAAAAGCAACAAAACTTCTGAATTAAGCCTGTCACAATAACAAATTTTCCTGGACAATAAACCAATCCAGAAATGATTGTGATATGAAATTATTGTTGTTTTAAGACCATTTTCAAGCAATATATTGATAATGGGACAATAATGTAAATTTCCCCTATCAAAAACCAATAAACTTTAATTTTGCTAGGAACTGGAAGATAGCTTAAATTTCCAGCAACCAAAAACGATAAATAAAACAGAAATAAAAACCAAACATCTATGTAAGAAAAATTAGGAAGTCTCTGCCCTTCAAAAAATATTAATCATCAAATGAAAATTATTGGGTTCATTTTAATTCATCTAGTGAATAATTGATTAATTAAGGAGACTATGGAATTACTAGTCTGGACAGATTATGACTAAAAAACCCTCTGGGTGGAAAATCATGCAGAAAACAAAAGCAACAACAAAATGATGATTTATTATGAACTGCTTCATAATAAACTAAAGGTAGCGTCACCTTGAAGATTTAGACTGATATATATTTATATTTAGTGACTTTATCATGAATTTAAGAAATTTGAAGTGCCCACAGATCAGATTTTATTTTATTTTTTAAAGGAAAAAGAAAGAAAGAATTTCCTGTTTATTAACAGATCAAGAGGTAGATTGACTCAGATTTGCTTTAAAAACAAGAAAAAATAGTGACTTTCTCACAAAGAAATAACAGATTTCTGATATTATCCTTCTTTTGTGTTGGACAAATCAGTGATTGAACTAGGACGTCTTATTTTTAACAGACTGAAAGAGCTACTTAATACCACATCCAATCTGGAGTAAGAAGGTAAAAATGAGTCTGTTAATCATGCCTGAGATTCTGCCCCTGATCCAAGACGTTTGATTCGTTGCCACATTCCTAAGTAAAGGCAACAAAACGTTGATAGAATCAAATCAGGACTCACCCAGGGTGGCAGCTCCGTTGCTGGCAGACTCTGCCTCGCGGCCGTATCCTTGTGATCCAGGAATGCCAAAGCCCGGTTTATCCTGTAGTCCTTGCTGCCATGGTTCTTCCTCCAGTAAAAAAGGATGGCGAGTCCAATCAGAACCCAGCTGAAGCTGAACTCAAAGTATCCCAGCACGTAGATGGGGAATATGACAGCAAATGTTTTGGCAAATTTAATCCACATTTGAGAGACGTCGGTCAGTGAAGACGGTTGCTCTTCTTCCAGCTCCTCCTTGGCCAGAGTCGGACTCGGCGGCGGCGGTACCTGGTTCCCGTTGGGCGCCGGGACCGGCCCATTCGCCCTGGTGCCTGGTCCTGCTGTACCCTCCATCCTGTTGCTCATTTCCTTACTGTAAAGACAATTTTGGCAATGACTTATAGGAGTGCCTTTCACAGTATTATCACAAGGATATGGAGTCGTCCTCGGACAGTGCGCTCTTATAGGGTGGTGACAGCGCGTTGGCACGCCGCAGAGGCAGACAGACAGAGCTGGCATGGGCCGGTGAAAAGCTGCAACACTGGCAGCCAGCAGGCTAAACATAGCGCTAAATAAACTGGCTGGAGTTAGAAGTGAAAGAAGAAGGTTATGACTTTGATTTGAACATTAGAGGAGGATTTCAGGGCTCAGAAAACAATTAAAACAATGTAAACAAGGGAATAAGTGTGAGACCAGACATTGTTATTGCAGCAGGTACAAAGCTCAACTGTCAACAGTCAAGAAGATTTTTTAAGCTGCTTCAAAAATAACTGGAAAGGTATTTTCTACTGATGGGTAGAGCTGGAAAGTAAATCAAATATAATAGATATGGCAATAGATGAATACCAGTAGATAAAACATCTGAGAGAATAATTAAGAAATTCACTGAACCGCACAGCATCCTGGGCGATGTAGGCAGAGGAAAGACAACCTCTTACAGCCAGCTGAGCTCGATTGGTGGCTTCAACTGACACTCACTCTTTGGTTACCCAGCAACAACATGTTGAGCATCTTGCACTGCAGCAGTTTAAAGTTTTGCCACTGTGGCTCATAACTGATTTAAAAAAAATAAAAAAAACAGTATGGATGAAAGTAATTAAATAATCGCATGGATTTCAAAAAAATAAGCAACAAGCTTCCTCCCTCTGAAGTGTAGTTATTATACTAAACAAATGTAATGTTTTATTTTAAAATTAACATTTATCTGTTTTATTGCTTCTTTAAATTAATGATAAAAATTATTTAATGGCAAAGAAAGTATAGATCAATCACAATCACTTTAGATTATTACGTTAACTGCAAAACTGCAGGACTGGGACAATTACAACTTTTGTACATCTTTCAACATTTCGCTGCGTCTCTGTCCAACACACCTAAAACAAACCTGATTTACGTCCAGCATGCAGTCAGGCTCCACAGAGATCTGCTAATGGCCCAGTTATCTACATTCACAGCATTGAAACAAACCGTCTCACATGTTCAACACATAAATTTGCTGTTCAGGTTTTTGTGTTTTTAATAGGTTTGACCTAAAGAGTTACATGGTGATAATCCGGTTAAATAAAAATAAACATCAGATGCGACAATGAATTCAAACATTGTTTTTATATGCCAAACCTTGATGAATATAGCTTGTTGAGATTTAGATTAATAGCACTGTCATAAAAGGTTGGAATGTGAAAAGTCACCTTTGCTATGTATAAATTAAAAAGCCTTATAAATACCACTGCTGTAAATCTATGGCAGCAATTGCCATCTAGAAACTCTACATCCTAAAATTGTCAACTACTTCAACTCATTTGAAGCAATTATCCAGACTTTTCTTTAAAATCAAACTTTCTTTAAATACAGTTTGATGCCCATAAAATGCTGTTTTGCTATTTTGTAGTAAATTGTTATTAAAACAAGCTTTCTTTTGCACATGCCTGTGGCGACGCCACATTAGGTATAAGGAAATTGATCACAGTTCTTTTGAGTATGCCCAATTGTAACTTTTTTGTTGTTACATGTTTTCACTAAATGTCTCCCACATAGTGTTTACTTGTAAAATAAATATTTTAGCAACAATAGCACACATGGATATAGTTCTAAAGAAGAACAGGGCTGACTTCATCAACTACTTTGAGCCAGTCAGCTATAAAAGTCAAATGCACTAGCTAGTACATCCCACAAAGGTGATTTACAAGTTTCAATGATATTTCCTGCAGATCTTCCACTCCACCCATTACTTCAGTGGAAAACGACCAGAGACAGACAAATGGAGCTAAAATGAGTCCAGACTCTGCCTAAATCTTAAAAGGTGGAGTCTTTGCAATTCAAATGCTTTCAGCTTTCAAACACCAGATGATCTGCTGGATTCTTATTCCTTGTGTGATGTCATCTACAGATTTATTTATATATATACATATATAAAAATCTGCATCTTTTCAGTGCACTTAAAAGGAGACATATTTTGTGAAGTCCTGCAATCCTGCATGGCATTTCACTGTCATTGAACAGAAAGAAACTATATCACTTGGTACCATCCTTTAACAAATGCTACTATAAATAAATAAAAACAATCTTGTGCTTAGCTAATTAATTATTCCACAGTATGTTTTCATTAAAAGTCAACTTCACCTGCTGTCATGCCATCTAAAAAGTATTAAAAAGAATATTAATAGTGCAATTACTTGCAGGAAAGCTACTCAGGCCATTCGGTCAAATTCGGTTTCAATAATAAATTCCCAACTCTTTTGGTTTGTTTAATATTTTAGCTTTGAAAAGTCTCTCACTTCATTCCTCTGCCATGACTCACTGCAATGAATACTGAAATCTGTTATGAAAGCAGAGATTTAACCTACATACTTAATGTTTTTTTAGGGTATGTCAAAGCCGAATCAAATAAAATATAACAATTAATCATTTTTTATCAACAAACCACTTTTGGTGCATCTATATTTGATGTTTGATATGACGCATCTTAAATGGGGCAGTTTTTGAACCGAGTCCGGTTGACGACACAGTGACACGTATGAAGGCACTTCACCGGTGTTACGTACAGTAAAAAAAAACAACTTGTTCCTCAACGGCTAAAACTGAGCAAACAGCGCACTTACCTATATCCTCTAGCAGCACTCGTTCTAGCCGAAACAAAAACAGAGAAAATTCAATCGAGCAGCTGCTTCCTCTGCATGTTAAACTCCGACAGCCCTCTCGCCTCCTCTGTTCATCCTCCAGTCTGTTAAGGAGAGCCGTCCGTCTCAGCAAATCCGCAGGAAGCTGTCATCGCGAGAAAACAGGTCACCGACCAGGAGGGAGCTTCAAACAGACCCAGCTGCAACAGACCCTGGCGCCATCTTGTGGCGGGAAATAACGGTCACTATATCCCAGCGACTCGGCTCATTTTCATCCGTTCATGGTGGAACGTTCAGTTCAGCGAGGCAGGCGTAAAAACAGCATACAGAAACACAATTCTAAGTCTGAAATAAAGGTTAGTTTCCCCTAATTTACATTAAACTGTGTAAAAAATTGTAATCAAAAGAGAAAAAGCCTATTCCTGTAAGGGTATAGACCTAACATGGTCTCCAATAAATGTTTTTTGATCATCATTCCACATTTAATTGTAATTAATCTATTAAAAGCGCATTTGGGTGCCAGAAAGCAAAGTGTCCTTTAATTTGAAATTAAAGCTAATGCACACAAGTTATTTTAAAGACAAATATTGTACATAAAAAAGTTTAGAAGATTTTCATTTGTTGGCAGTAATGCTTCCCTAATTAAATCCCAAAATCCAAATCAATTTATAAAAGCAACAAGTTTGTCAAAGTTCTGCTAATAAAAAAATACATTAATGTAAAACAAAGCAAGGACATTGAAAATAGTCAAAATAAAATGGAAATAACATTGAAGCATATCAACTCTTAACTAATCATAATGCATAAATGCATAAAAATGTGTCTTTTAAAAGAGACTAATTAAAAATAAAAGTCCTGATCGGACTTCGCTGGCCTTTGCTAAAGTTTATTGTTTGATTGTGTCTTCTATTTTTACAGATGCAATCATTGTCAACAGAGCTTGAACAGAAATAATTTTCCACTAGATGTCAGAGAAGTGCTTATATACTGAAACCTCTCTGTCTGTGGCCTAATCTCTCTGCCAGCTCAGCTGTGGTAAAAATGCAGTCAATATCACAGCTTCATAATCACTTTATAAAGAACCTCTCTTAAGATCCATTTTATTACTGTCATTGTTATAATAAAAGATCTATCTTTAGTTGTCACTTAATCAGGTTATTTGTACTTTTAAGCTTTTATTGTTGATTAAAGCAAGAAATTAGATGGTGATAATAAAAAAAAATGAGAAGACAGACAAAAACAACCTGGTGACATTTTTCCTCCTCTGTCTCAATCTGGATGGTACGTTTTGTTAAAGAAGCTGCGATGTTTAAATCTGTTTTATACACAAGCCATAAACACCAGGAGACAACTGACGGCTGGTTAGCATTCCTGTGCCAGCGTATTTCAAGCCGTCGTTGCAACGGGGCCAGCGACGGCCTGGCTTTGTGTGAATCTGTGCCACTTGGTCCTCACTCTGCGTCCAGATGGAAACCATGAACACAGAGAGTATTTACAGAGAAGGAGGGGGATGTTCCTGTAAGGGTATATTTCTGTTCTCTTCTAATTCCAGACACCCCAACTTGAAGTGTTTGGGATCACACTGCATGTTTTATCAGCTCACACTGAAACTGACCTCTAAGTATATTTGGTGAGCTTTCCTGCTACAAAACGCAGGATCCTCAGTTGACTTTACCACTGTAGCTACGTTATGAGGACAGTATTTATGTGAGGATTTAAATAAAATAGAGAGGACCTAGTGGCAGAAAACAACCTGTCCTGATTCTGCAATCTGAAAAAGAAACTACTAAAAAAATAAATCCTGGAACGTTACTGGGAGTAACTGGGAATTCTTGAAAGGTTGTCCAGATCTTCAGAAACTTCTTGATAGTTGTGAAGAAAGTCTGCAGGAAGTTGTGGAAACTTTTCATCACTATCCAGACCGTACATACCCACAAAGCAATATGTTGAGATAACATTTTTAAAAATCTTTTAAAAGCGTTACATTCTTTTTAAATTCATTAAAAATTGTAAGTTGACATTAAATGCATTCATCACAGGACTTAAATGTTATCATGAAAGGAGAGTTTTGTCAGATTTAGAGCAAAACAGTAAAAAAAATTTCACTGTCTACTTGAAAACAAAAATCACAGTTTCCTGTAGGATGTTTTCTCATCGTAAATGACGTATTTAACACTGTATGACCAAAACATAATCTGGGTATAATAATTTCCTCCTCTTTATTTTGTCCTGTTTTCCTCTTTATGTTAACATTTCACTGTACAATGTTGCAATATTTTATTAAAATGTATAAAAACTAAACAGCCATCAGTGTTTTTACTGTATTGTTTTTAGATCTAAAATAAATATTCCGCAATATCACAACTAATCATGTCTCTTTGGTTTTTATTTTGAAAGTCAGAGGGAGAAATGGAGCATCCTGTACTGCCAGCTTGACAGCAGGAGTCAGCTGTGGGTTAGTGATCTCTCTGCTCATTCAGCTCAGTGGAAGCGACTCGTGTGGATACAGAACATCACAACCTGTGCTTTTGCGCTTCTCTTCTGCACCATTTCTGGAATTAACAATGATTTAACAAACGCTCTGCAATGGAGTTCAAATGAAGTGATCAAAGCCTGAATTTCTCCTGTTAGGACATCTGACTGGTTTCTGTCTACCTGAGGACTGATCATGAGAAGTTTGAGCCTCCTCACCTTTTTTCTCTGGATGTGTCCGCTCATGGTGAGTTTTCTGAAAATAAACTTCATCTTCGAAACTCTTGCACAGCAAGGAAGTTGGTAAAAAATGTGGGATTTTCCTAAATATGAGCTCAAATAAATATGTTAGTCCTGATTGTCCAGTTTGTGGATCTGGAATAAAACATCAACCAAATAGTGTACATACATTTATTTGCAGTGCAATAAAATTATTTTCAAATTGAATGCACACTATATTACTAATTTAAGCAAAAAGGAAAATGATGATCCTTCTGTTCATCCAGAAAAAATTTCAATGAAATAAAATAGACATTTTCCTAACAGATATTTGAATACTACTGAATTTAAGTTTCAGTTTTAAACACATTTTAATAACCTTAACTGGGTTGTTAAAAATATTTTAACACATCTAAAGGTCTGTTTTATAAAATAAATATGTACTATAACATAAAAATCTTATGCAGGTGTTTTGTGCAACAGCATCATTTTAAATCCAGCTGATTTGCTTAGTAACAAGTTGTTCTACTGGTGGAAAGGTAAGACAGAATTACTGCAAATACATCTAGTTTAGTAGTGAAAATAGGCAGTCATCACCTTATCAGAACAAAGTGGCTGAAAAAAACTCTTTTTACTAATATCAGCTGCTTCAATTTAGTTTTCTGATACACAATCAGAAGAACTTAATATGGCACCCTGTGGTACACCCAGTTGACTGTTTTGAATTAATTTAAGATAGAACTAATAACATGTTATAGATAGTTGGTCCTGAGAGCATATTTTTGCTGTATTCCAACATAAATGGGGTCAACAGATACTTAAATATTTAGTAAGGATAAACAAATCAATAAACAAATCAATGTGACGATCGCTTACTAGTTCATTTCACAATTCCAAAATTCTTTTTACTTTGTAAATGAGATAAGGTGAGATGAGGTAAGGTGACATCTTTTCATTCTGATTTTGATTAATAATCAAGTCACTAATTTATAGAGAAAATTATATTTTAATAATTTAGCCACTAATAAATAAAAAAAGCCTACATGTTTTTCATTTACTGCAGGCACTACTGTTTTTTTTGCTGCTGCAGCAGAGGCGTCTGCGTCTTGATTAATTGAGTTAATTTGTAGAATTAGTCTCACACTGTTTGGCTGTTCTTTCTGAGGCCTCCTGCAGCTGTAACCCCAGTATTTTTTGTTATTTTTTTTCTGAACGTCACACGTTATCAGCCCTCTCTGAGCACTGATCCGCCTCGCAGGACCAACAGTGGAAGTGGTTTCTGTCTGCCCGCCGGTCTCGTCACTTTAAATGCAGGCTGGGGTGTAAAATGTTCTCGTCACCCCAAACAAATGAGTGTTTGATCGTGTAAATCCCAGCACTCTGCCACCTCAAACACACAAAGAAATGGCAGCCGAGACACAAACTGTTCTGTGGTTCATCTTCTTACTTACTCGATTACTATTTTGTTTATTTAGTAGTTTAAACGGATCAATTTTTCATCATGCTCAAGGGCAAAGAAATTAATTTAGCAGCTTTAAATTTTGCTTTTGGCTGTTCTACATTTCTCTGCCTTAATCTTATAAATTAACCAGATACATTAGCTGCATTTACATTGACTATATAATAGTTGCAATTTGATTTTTCAAAAATAAACCCTGAAATTTTGAAAAAAATAAAAAATCATATTTTTTGATAAAACGTTGGCGTGAGATGCTTTTGTGGCCATGTCCAAAATCACACTATTAATGGAAACGGTAAAAAATTTTGAGGCTGGTCGCATTTCCATTGCAAATGTGCATAAGTCTTTGTCAATATTGTTGAAAAAAACAACAACTAAATGTTACGATCGCAGTGTTTCCATTAAATAAGAACCACAATTAAAACACCATGTGAATAAATTTGCTCGTCTGATAAATCATTAAAGTCAAGCTGCACCATCATCCTCTGAATACTTCCTGTCTTCTTCATGGTTTATGCCAGGAACAACATCCAGTTGTTGGTCTCGTGACTCGTGTGATGTGAACAAAGTGTCTCCACTGCAGTTTTGCAAAATAAACCAATTTCAACACTACAATTGTGATTACAGAATCTTATAAAATTGAGTTGTTTGAAGATGTAGCTTAAGAAGATTAAAGTGCGTTGAGCTGGAGCTCTTCAGTGATCCCAGAATGCCTTTTCCAGGCATAACGCTGTGATTAACTTGATAGTCAGAAGGAGAAGTTGCCGTGTTTTCGTGCTCGGATCCCCCAGTATTTAATACCGATGATGTGCTGTCTCAGACGGCGGAGGCTTCTTGTTCCTGCAGTGTCAGTTTTTTGTCATCAGCCCCAGACAGGAAAAGTCCCATGATCTATAGATTCATTTGTGCAGCTTAAACAACTGTGTAGATCTTTAAAACAGACCAGCTGATTTACAGTGAGGTTTGAATATTTCTAGATAATCCTCATCTTTAAGATATTCACCCGCTGTTGATGAAAGCTCACACTAAGTAGGAAGGAATGCTAAGGTTTTAGACATAACTTA